ACAGGAGGTCTCTTATGGACACCAGAGGGGTTACACATGGACATGACAAGTGGAGGGGCCAGTTCTGCTTGGCCATCAGTCCCCTGCATCTGGGGAGGTGAAAAAACAGCAAAGGACAGAGGATGAAAACAAAACCTGAATCACTGTCACATCTAAAAAACTCCTAGTAATTGTCAGTAGCCAGAGCCATGAGCTTCCTGTGGGAGAGGGCATCTTCTCTATAGAACCCTGTTAACACACACACTGAGAAGCAGAAGGCCTCAGTCATCCTGATAGCTTTATCCTCTCTGTTTTTAAAAGACCTATGTCTCTTATGTACCTCCCTATGCCAGTGTCTGAGACATCAGATTTCTTAGCAAATGCCATTGCAAAGTAATGCAAGAAGGGGTGAGGAGATGAAGGGAAAAGTCTGAATGCACACATAGTTTAAGCATCATGGGCTCAGCAAATGTGTCAGAAAGAGCAAACACGAGCAATTAAATGAAGGAGATGGTGTCAGATCGCTTAATAATCTCACATCTTCAGTTTATCTTCAGGATCCTTTTTTATATCTCTGAAATGAACATGAATTCTGTTAATATCTTCTTCTATAAACTGTCCCTACACATCACCTAGTGTTTCACTTGTCTGTGCAGGAGTCGCCTCTTGCTCCTGAACCAGCAGTCTCCTGTCTCTGGGTTAGAGACAGTCAACTACCCCCCGAAGATGTGTCTAGCATTTCTTAATGGCACCTTGTTGGGAAGAAAGAAGCAACACCGAATAGCACCAAAAAAATAGGACCTCAGCTAGAAAGGTGGGGATGTGATGCCAGCGATGTTAAATGGGTAAAAGGAAAAAACCAAGCCGGTGCTTTGTTTTTCAGGGTGCAGAAATTCAGAGAAAAATCCAACCGACAGGGAAAAAGTGTGGATGGAAGAGAAAGATTGGAAGCTGGCGCCACGGCATCTAGATTCCTGGAAATCTGCAAAAGACAAATAGTGGGACATCTTAACAAATATGTTTGGGTTCTGGGCTTTGACAGCATTGGCAGGCAACTGCTGGAACAGGCTGAGGTGACGGCAGCAGTGCAGGAGGATTTGGAAGGAGACATTACATGCAGAAGGAAGGGGCTTGTAAGGAGCAGAGGGTAGCGGGGAGGGCAGGGAGTCATGAAATGTAGAAGCTTCCACAAGAGGGGATGTTCATTCTCCCTTTGGAAGATATTCATAATACACAGAAACAGGCTTAGAAACTATTCCATGAAGGCTCAGGGTTATGGCACTGACTCCCTTGCAGGCTAGAAAAATACATGCTTGAAAGGAAAAGGCCTTCAGGGTAGGAGGGTTTGTTATTTGGGGGTTTTAACTGACAGAATCCACTGCTGACTTGTAAGGTGGGGAGGTATTAACTCCTGAGAAGGAGGAACAAAAGGCAGGGATTGCAATCCTGTGAAAAAAAGCAAGAAGCTTTGCAAGTGGAGGTGGGCTGGTCCAGAAGGGGGGTAAAGATATTCATCGAGTGCTCTGAGATGAAACATGCTGTGTGTTCGCAAAGGTGCCTGTCAGTCAAGTGGGGGAGCAACATTATGACAACCTCTCTTCCAGGAGCAGCAAAAAACAAGATTTTTTTCCCTGCAAAGCCAGCCCAGAAATTACTGAAATGGTTGTTTTAACAACCAAAGCTCGCTAGGAGAGAACAAAAGAACTCCAGATGCATGTACATACACATCCATCCATCCATCTATCAATGCTCTACTATGGCCTCTGATGAGCTAACTTCCACTTAAAGAACATCTCTTACATCGGTGAGAAAACAGGCAGTGAATTCTTTTGCTGCTGTAAAACCTGAAATTATCTTGTTTTCAGGGAGGAGTGTGAAAAAGGTGCAACTTGCACGGAGATTTCTGAGAACCGTTAAGCCTAATGCACAGCGAATAGCAGAGAAGAGGTAGACTTCTTGTGAAGGAGCTGCTCTCGTTTCCTGAATACTGACATGCTGTCTTCACTAGCTACCTCTCAAAGCATGGCTGCTGCCATGGCCCCTTGAGACAGAAGGGCTCAGGTTCCAGAAGGGTTGTTCTGAAAGCCCAGAAGCACACAGTATTGTGGCACTTGCTGCTATTCGCTTGTCAGTACTTAATCAACAAATGTAGAGCTTTGCTGAAATCAGAAAGATACTTTGGTATGGAAAAAAAACCAAAAAACCTTAATCTGAGGAAGTTGCTTGTTAAACAGAGAGGAATTTGTTGTTCAGCTGCACTCAAAACACAAGAAAAGGGAAAAAACATTAATGTGTGCCAGGGCAAAAGTACCACTGTCTTGGCAAGAAAAAGAAACATTTGCAAGCTTCAGAGCTGGTATGGGAACAATGGGGAAGAAAATTAACTAGAAAAACTGCTCAATGGGCTGCTGAGAAGAATCCTCCTCCCTTCACAGAATGATTTTTTGTGTTTTCTTGTACCCAGATAAGATGGACTGATGGTACAACAAATAATACCTGACACACAAGTTGTTCAGAACGCACAGTATCAAGAACAGAAATCAGAATGGGCTGAACTCATTGAATTCAAAGGCAATCAAAAAAGTAGTAAAACTAGGATCAACTACCACCATTCCCTTCTGCCAGAAGATGTTAGGTATTGAAAACTGTATCAGCTTTTTCACACAGTTGCAGTATAGGCTGATACATAGTAGAAAACAAAACAAAACACTAAACCCAAAACCAAACCAAGCCCTGAGCACCAGGTTGAAGATCAAGGTGAGAAGAAACCTTAAGTGTGGCTGTCGCACATCTGGAGTAATAGGGTTTCCAGTGTTTGCTTTGGCCATTTCCCCTGTGGCTGTGATCTTTAGTAAATTATCCCTAATCCTTCATCAGTTTGCTCTTCTTCAGTTTTAGCCCGAGTTCCTAGTAGGCAACTCCTCAAGATGCCTTTAATGTTTTGGAGCTTTCTTCACATAAGCAGATGAGGATCAGGGTTCCTCATTGTTGTGGTATTCATTTGTATTTCCTTTAATCCTTCTGCACAAAACAAATATCTAAATGTTGCTTGTGTCAAGGTAAATATTTTAAAACACAATACTTAACGTGGGGCTGGTGGGAGGGGTGGGCTGCAATTGTTTGCAGTCCAGGAGCTTCACGTTACCGGATCCTTCCTAACATGGTAGGTGCCAGGTCGGAGTGTGTGCGTTCACACACAGCATCCTAGGTACACCATGCATCTAGGTCCTTCCCAGCACTAGTGATTCCTGACCTTCTACTCCTGGTTTGCTTCTAAACACTTAAAGCAAGAGCACTCTGTTCAAATCCTCAGTGTTTCAGCTTTTGCTAAGCAGCATGTTCTATTAGAGAACACTTTCACTGCAGGTTAAAATTCTCAGATGCAGATCATACAATGCACTGAGGAGTATTGGCTGAGGGGGGGGGAAAATAGCCTGTCATACATAACAGGACTATCGATAATGTGCAGTACATAACACTCCAGCAAAAAAATGACTAATATCAAAGCTAAACAGGAATGATTCATATGGTTGAGACAAGTAGAATAAAACGTGTATTTTAACTAAATCAGTTTTTAGGAATACCAGGCACAGGTTAATCCTTTATAAATATGTTCACAGAGTACATTAGACACCAGCCCGCCTACACAAAATGAATGCAGCACACACTCTGATGTATTACAGAGGCAGGATAAATGAGGGAACTCTTCTGTGTTTGATCTGGTTCTGCTCTGTAATTCAGAGATACTGGAGATGGGTGGTGAGTTTCTCATTGATCCCAAAAGAACCAATACTGTTGAATCCTGTGAAATGTAAGCTTTGTAGAGGATTGGAGGCTATGCACGAAGGACATTGTAGCTTTAGGGGCATATTCTCTTCTCAGGAATGTGTTGTAACTGGCATTCACAAGTCATACACATCCTGGGGAAACTAGACCCTGTAGCTTAACAATAGTGAAAACGCATACCTAGCTCCACAGGCAATTATATCACTCTCATTGCTACATCTGCATTCAGTTATCAAAGGATAGATTTCCAGCAGATAATAAACGAAGCTGGAAACGAATGTTGGGAATTTGAAACAATGCTAAATTTGACACACATCAGCATTTAAAAATGCAGTAAAGTGCAGTCAGTGTATCAATGCAATTCTAAGGTATTTTAGAGAGGAAACACAGAGCTAGCGCATAGATGTGGGAATAATCAGTTCCAAGGTTTCCCCCCATCCACATTCTTTCCAGCTTTTTAAACCACTTATACCAGTCCTTTGCATATGGTGGAGGTGTTAATGCACAGTTACTGCACAACGGGGTTGTGAATTTTAGTTAATGAAAGCTTTTAAAGGCACAATGAAATCCTCAGATGAAAGGCAACAAAGAAGTGCTAAGTGTTATTATAGCCTAGCCTAAGTTTTACTGAGAGCATTCTTATACACGATGGACACAGCATAAATATGTATTATGGGTGATAACCTCCCTGTAAAGACTAATTCCCACTCCTGAGGCTGCCAGAGGCAAGAGGAGGCGGTATTATGAGACTTAATAAAGTCTCATAATGTTTTCATCCTATTCCTACCCCCAGGAGCTAGAAGAGGACCCCTGTGTACATTATGAATCCTTACTGAATAGCATGGCCATCCTGGCATATTGCATGCACAATTAGATCACAAGGATGGCAGACCAAGATGGTTCAGTGAACACTTAAAGGCAGAGGTAAATATAGGAAGTACAGCAAATGCTATAGTTCCAGTCACAGCAGTGTGGCACAGAGTAAGTTTACAGTGTGTGTTTGTATGCTATCTGTGGAAGAGGTAAGCAAAGGGAAAGAAATCTGCTTGCATTTTCCTTGAGAATTTTTGCTAAAATCCAAGTAATTGTTTGTGCATGATAACAGAAAGGAACAATTAAGATGGTCTGAATTTTGCAAAGGTGAGAAAAGGATAGCTGTCAATGGGATGTGGATGAAAGCTCCAGTAACCCATTTGGAAAAGATCTAGCACCAGAATAAATGTACAACAGCTTACCAGGCTGAGAGAGGATGGGATCTGCTGGTCTGAATGGTGGTTTGATCTGTTACGATGGGAGTGAAGTCTTCAATATGAAAAATATTATTCTGCTTCCTGGGTCTGCAAGAGCTAACATTGTTCTAAAGGCTGCATCCCTCTGATCAGCTGCCCTGGTTGACTGATCACAGTCTAAGTGATCTGTAGCCTCTTTCTTTTTCTGCCTCTGTTCAAAGAAAAGACTGCAGCTTCATGTCAGTTATTATTTGCATGTTTTTCCTAACAGTTTACTCTCTGCAGCTTCTGGTTCAACATTTACATGTTCCGAAATTCAGGAAAACACTAAAAAGGATTTTTAGGTCAGTACCTAATGTTTTCAAAGTAATAGCAGGCACCTCACGCATACATCTCATGTTCCACCCTTTTGGTAAATGTATTCTAACACTCTTAACTTACCTGCTTTAAAAGGGCTGGCATGCTGAACCAGCTGGCCTTTTTCTGCTGCTACAGCTTTTCATGTTATATTCTGCTGCTCCAATTTCTGTATTTTCCCTGCATTTTACAAGACAAAATGCAGAAGTTTAAAGGCTCATAATGTTTATGTGACAAAAATCTTACTGCTAAGTACAGTATTACTGACGGATTAGTTTAATGCAATAGCATAATGTCATTTAATTATAGTAATAGTGCACAGCAACAATCTTACTACTTATGTCAGATTGTGAGACATTATTTTTTAAAAAGCTTCATCATTATTATTTAGTTTTTGGGTTTAGTTCCACAGTTCCCCCCACACACACACACACATATTGAATTTTTTCCATAGGTGTAGAATAAGAAACATTAGGTAAATTGCTCCCATTTGCCACTGTAAGATTCCGTAAGAATTCACAATACTAACTAAAAACCTATTTTGCACCACGAGACAATAGTCAGCCAGCCCATAGTGAAAGATTGTAGCCTTCTGTGCCTAAAAGTCCTCAGACCTGCATGCTGCAGGACTTTAAAAATAAGCCTGAGCAGAAAAAGAAGGATCACTCCACCAAGTCTGCCTTTTGTATTTACCTGAGAGCTTTTAATGTAGATTGATCTAAATTCCTGTGCCAGCCATGAACTCTATATTCACATAAACTGTTGTAGTTCAGGGCTTCAGCTTTTCAGCCCACAGTTTCCACTGATTTCAGCTGTGGCTGACAGCAGTTCTGAAAATGCAATCCACAATAACTCGGTTTTTAAAGTGTTTTCTATCTGAAGACCACAGAATTTTCCACCAGTGTTTGTTTAGCCTCACAACAGTTCCAGGAAGACAGAAAAAGGCATCTTCAGCCAGCACAGCTGTATGCAAAGTGAACATCTGTCCATTGCCAAATTCTGTTTAGCTAATAATGAAAAACACCACACTTTATTTTCTCTTCCAGACAGGACCAGACTGCAAGGGAAAGCCTGGAGAGGATTTCCGTGCTGTAAAAAGGGAAACAGGGAGAGACTGAATTTCCTACGGTCACTGAGGAAACGCATGGCAGTGCTAGAAAAAGAACTCAGCACTCGAGCAGCCAAGATACCATCTTCACAGCCCCAAACGGGTAGTTTTTCTCTGCAGCGTGACTGCATTAGCTCTGTCACAGTGACATAACAGTAGAGACAGATTCTGTGGCAATGAAGTTAGATAAGGTTAATTTCTTGTTAGTAGGGAGATGTTGTCTTTTTGTAATTGCATCGTGCAAAAGATCTTCTTGCCTTATTTCAGTAACAAGAAGCTAGGCAATATGAATTAGCTAAATCCTCTCAAACCTTGGCTTTTTACAAGGGGTAATGAAGATGTGCCTTTTTTTTTTTGAACCTACAGCAACTGCAAAATAGTCCTTCTGCATGCTGACCTGTTGCATACAGCTAGCACACATGCATTTAGCATCTTGCCCAAGGTTCTGTAAGACCCGATTGTATATATTTTTCAGTATACACGCTTATTTAGGTGTGAGGCTAAAGTCACAAAGGTCTTAGGCTGAGTACTGCAATGCTTGATTCCTGGGGGCTCTTTCAGCTGAAGAAACCCATAACTCCACAAAAGCCACCATCTCTGTGCAGAAGTAGGTTGTGTGCAAGGAATCTACATTTCTGCTTCTTTCAAGGGGTTTGGAAGATGAGTCAAGGGCGGACAGATGTATTTTTCTCAGCTTTAACTTCACAATGTAAACAAATGTGTGGACATACCCATGCCCAGTGGTCCCTTTTAGTGCAATGTACCAGGACAAGGAGCAGGTAAACAGTGCTAGACTTCACTCATTCTCAAGCCTCAACAGTGTATTTAAGAGCAGTTCTGTGCTGTGAGACATTAAAATTTACGGCCTTTTTGGGTAGATGTTTGAATTCAGGAACAATATTTTGCAGCAAATATTTGCTAAAAGCTCGCCTATTCACTGCTTTACAATACCTGTCAAATCTACAGCACCTTTGCAAGCTATGGAAAGAAACATAATTATATGTCAATTCACTTGTGTATTAATTTTAGCATGCAGCAGAAGCTCTTTCTCTAGCCAGCCTTTGCTACTGCAGCAACACCCAGTACTCAGCAGAAACATGGACTTTTGATAGAAACGGCGTGATTTTTGTACCTTTATGCCTTGTTATTATTCATTCTGTGCATCATTGGCTACCAAAAGCCTCTGAATTCACTACAGCTTCGTCTCAGAAGAAGAAAGAAATCTGGGTCAAACTCCCTGCATCAAAGCAAGCTGGTAGGAGATTTCAACCTTTGTCTTAGCTCCACGTCTTAGGTAGCTATTCTGAAGATTTAAGGGCACCAAGAAAACATTGTCGTATTTGCTGTATTTTGCATGAGACATTATAACAACTAGAAAGCAAGAAGCTGTTCCTAGCCTAAGATCTACTACAGTAAATTAGGTCACCTCAGCTGCTTTTGTAGAGAAGATAGTGTACACACAGCAAAGAAGTCTCTTTCTCCCATTGATAACATTGTTCCCTTGCCTATGCATGTTGGTTGAGAAACAAACCTAGAGCTACTGTCTGTTTAAAGAGAAACTCCTGATTATGAGTCTCTCTGCTATATTTTTTCTTCTTTTTTTGTCTTTCTTCTTTACCATTCAGGTGCAATGAACAACTTCCGTGCTGCTGCGAGCTTGACTCCTAGCCTCAAGATCTCACCCTCCCTAGTGTTGTCTGGATATCAGGTTTTTCAACCCCCAGTCCTTCCTCACAGGTAGGAAGCACATCACAACTCATTAGTAATTTACTGCTACAGTAATTTTTATAATTACTGCCAGGAGGCCTCATTAAATTTGATCTAATGAATAAATATTGTATTTTTCAACGTGATTACCAGAACAGCTTAAGCTGAGTGCCATAAACAATTATTTTCTTCAATACGCAGTATGTCAGTGAGTATTGATTTTTATTTTGTAAAGAATTTACTGTATTCCTATCCATGGCTAGGAAGTAATAAATAGCCAGCCCTCTGGAGCGTCAATTGCCATGGGGCAGATGGAAAAACAGAAATTGGGGTATCTGTTGCAAGAAGTAAAATAAAGCACATTAGTGAAGATAAAGGGTTTGTCTGGAGGTCAAGGAGGAGTGCTCCAATGTGAGTCTCTGTCTCCTAGCCCTCTAGAAAGCAGCCTGCTTTAGTCTGGTGTCTCTGATTTGTAAGTCAGTGATACCAAAAAATTTAGGATGCATTAGCTGGATACAACAAAGCATCTTAGAGAACTAAAATGCAAACAAACAATGATACGTTACATTTCACTTGCTTTTAGATCAATTCTTCTCACAGGTTTAAGAAAAATACATAAATACGTAATATGCTGAATGAGAACCTATAGTTCAAACCAAGGCTGCAAACTGTATTTACTTTCCAGCATCATTTACACGTTTTTCAGCAGTTGCAGACTTCAGCATACAAGCCCCTCTGAACTGTAACAAAAGGCATGCATTGGCAGTGTCTTTGGATATACATCAGAGAAGCTCAGCATCAGGAGAAAATCCTTGAAATTTTTATCATCTAAGAATGTTTTCTGCCCCTGCAGCTATGTGGTACCACATTAGATAGATCCAATTCCACAGCTGGAGCACTACTTAATTTTTAAGTGAATTTATCTACATCAATAAATAGCACTGCTGGCCTATGCCATCAGGTTTTTGTTTAAGCAAGTCTTTCAGTTAGGTCAAGAGAAAAATGTGTGTGGGCAAGCCCAGGGTCACTGAGGGTAGGTAATTCATATTCTTAAATTGATTTTTTTCCTCCCCGATTTAATGAACATTTTTGTATGAGCTGCATTTTCTCCCTTGGTTGTTTAGTTTAAGGAAACCTGGGGAGTCTTGAGATTGTTAGCTCAGCATCTCCCACTTAGACTCCTTGCTGTGGCCAAACTGCAATCTGGCCGCTACCAAATTTCACTGACATGAATACAGTGCAGTTACTGATTTGTAACTATGTCATCAGAACAGCTTCTCTGACTTTCACCAACATGCAGCTTTCCCCCCCTGCAGGTAAACTATAGACAACTCTACATAGGACCTTAGGACTAAATCCACTTTGGTTGCTGCTTTACTCCATAGCATCTGTATTTCATGACGCTTAAAATCTGCTCTCATAAAATCCCTTTAGTAGCTGGTTTTCTGTTGTAACAGATAGGGAAGAACCTCAGTCTCACCAACATGGGCTGACAAATATCTGTGCCTCCAGACAGGCTGTCCAATAAAACATAATCCCTCTCATCTCATTAGTGGTGGGATTTGGTGGCACTTGATGAATGATCCTTGCCCTACAAAAGCAACTACAAGACAGCTTCTCTTCCTCCTTTGTATTTTTGGTGCTCCACATCCCAAAACCACGCTGACCACAGCACTGCAGAGCTCAGTAGAACTACAGCTAGAAGTAATAGTAACAGTGTTCAGCACTACTGTGGTTGGACACCTTCAGTACCTCTCTTCTACTCCAGCCACTTTATTTTCTGAGGGATCAGGTCAACACTGTTTAGGTGCCAGGCAAACAGCAAGAAAACACTCCTCAGGAATTGAGGCAGAGAAAGGTTTAGAGGAATTTTTAACTGTGGATAGGAGCTGAGTGTTTTATACAAACTAAGCCATTTATCGAGAATCCCTTATCAAAACCCATGTCTTCTTGCAAACTGTACAGCAAGCCATGGTGTACCAGGGCACTCCAGTGAGGCTGGCTGTTCCACTAGATAGCAGGAAACCATAAGATGTGGCAGGAATCACATGTTCTTGTGGATCCCAACATGTTGTTAAAAGAATTATTTGATCATTCTTTTATCACAGAGAAAAACAGAAGCTAGATTTCAGCAGTCAGGCTTAATCAGCAACTTAGCTAAGCCAAATAATCAGCCAAACTATTCATCTCATCCATAACTTTTCATCAGAACTTAAAAACCCCCAAATATCAGGTGCTAGACATTAGCTTTGTGGAAACTGGACATATAGGAAGAAAGAAAATGGTACCTAACAGATTGCAATACTTTCAACTCCCTTGTTTCAGCTATTATGCATAATATACTTAAAAGTGAGTATATCTAAGAAATAGATAGTGAGTATGTCTAAGAAATAGCCTAACTCTGCTTGTGAGGAGAAAGGATGTGTATCTTTAGTCTGTGCTTAGAAGGCACACAGGAAAAACAAAGCATTATTCCTTGCTGTGAGTCTACATGTCTTGATGAAAATTAATTAATTGTAATCATGTTAAAAATATTCAATTGTTGGTGGGTTTTTTTGTTGTTTTTTTTTTTTTTTCCTAAAGTAGGCTTTAGCTATGTTGGTGAATGGGGTTTTGGTCTTACAACTGCAGGAAAAGTGACTTGTTTAAGATCATACCAGAAGGCTTTGACAGAACACTGTGTCTGTATACTGTAATGGGCATATAGTACCATATATATGGGTATATTATAATATGTTGGAGAACGCTTCAGAGCTTTGTAATGCAGATGCTGTTTTCTAGCAACAGCAACCATTTAGAAACCAGAAGTTGCTTCTCCCAGAGAAAATTGCGATTATATCAAAGCAGTTCAGTTCCTCTCAGTTCTTCACAACAAAACTCTGTGCTTGGTTTCCAATACCAAAATTCTAACATTGCAACTTCTTCATAAGAATTAAATGGAAACAGAAATAAAGGGGGAAGAAAAAGCTTTTAGAGTGTTAACTCTCCACGGCAGGAGGAAGCCAGCATGGGCATTGAGCTCGGCACACT